TTATCACTGGGCAACAATGATAATTAAAAAAACCAGTGGCTGGAAGGCAAGAGTAAGCGTAAACTATTGTATTTTGCTGTGTATGAGTTTTTCATAACCATCTAGTGCAGGGTTCCTCAACCTTGGCAACTTTAAGAAGGTGGACTTCAACTCCCGATTCTGGGAGTTGAAATCCACCCGTCTTAAAGTTGCCAAGGTTGAGGAACCCCGATCTAGTGGAAGACGTAAAAAGCAGGATGGTAGGCTAGATGTGCTTTTGATCTCTCTCTTCATGTCTGATATTTGCTTTCTTACTCTGCATCCACTTCTTGTTTTGTTTGACAGCCACTGAGGAGGAAAACATGTCTATGGAGGCCACCCATTAGAGGGAAATTTAGGACAAAGTTCTGTTTAATGACATGAGTCTTCCTTCCAATGTATAGAATGTGCCTCCACAGGAAGATTCAGAATCATACGGCTGGATCTACCATTCAGGAAGCAGGTTGCTGGATCTGACACATGCTAGCTGCTCCCATAGGCAGAATAAGGCAGCTGTCCCAGGGATCTACAGAGGGAGACAGAATGAAAAAAACAGGGTTGCACCCTCATGACACAAGCCTCTTTCACATGCACCACAACATTTCACACACATTCAAAGGGGGAAGAGGTTACATGTGATTCTGATTTTGTCCATTTGATGAAAGGAGCAAGCTCCTATGCATCCCCCTTTGCAGCTGTCATGGCAAAGCAGAAAAAAAGAAAGATGCCTTGGTCATTTTCAGATTCATTTGCCAAAATAATATGCCAGTCTTAATTTTTGACTTCCTTCCATTACTCAGTAAAATCTCTTGAACCAGCCTTGCATGAGCCTGAATGGAGTTACCCATTGAACTGAACAGATATTTATATGTAAATTTTGGGCTGTGTTATGCCTAAGGTTATGAAAAGATGCAAGGAACTTGTTAAGGTGTCACTGAAATTAATTGAAGCAACGGTATGCAAGGCCAGTAAGACATAGGAGTTTGAGTCTCAATAACAGTGTTGTTTATATCACAGTTTCTCAATATTCCATCATCAGTATTTTTGCAGCCATTGAAAAATGTTTTAAGATTTGGGATGAGGAAAGGACAACTTAACATACTCCTTGGGTAAAGTTATGTATCTAAAGTCATTGTCAGTTTCAATCATCAGAATCTTTAATTTGCTGCCCTGTATTATATACTGTACATAGGGAACAGGAGATGGAGAGAATTTGCATGTGTTAATTATATTTATAAGTTGCTTGTTCTCAGGATGGTATTCACAAGAAACAAAACACATTGCAAATGCAATATAATAAAAATATGGTACAGAACAAAGTAGAATAAAAAATGAAATTAAGAATTTTAAAAAATGAAGAACAAAGGCTAAAGTGAAATGAAAAGACAGCAGCAAATATTGGTTTCTCTTAGACCTTCAGTATCTTGAGCGCCACCACTAAAAAAAGACTTATAACAGTGGTTGCATTATGTGGGAGTAACCCAGAGAAGGACTCCGATCATACTCCCAGAGTTCAACCCCTCAAGGCAGAAAGGGCTTTCAGAGTAAAAAACATCAGTGAGCTCATTTAGGGACTGGAAACTAATGAAGATGATTAAATCTGGTGCAAGACTGAAACAGAAGCCTAGCGGCCATATTCTGGACTAAAGTGAAATCCATGGCTTTTTGAAGTCCATTGCATTTGCATCATATGTGTGACGTACTGCAGTAATCCAAATAGGAAGATTTGGAATATGAGTAACCCAGCCTGTCCAGGAGGACTATAGATGGCATACAAGTGTTAGATACAAATATATTCCATATCATAGAACCCAGCCATGCCTCTAATGTCAGTAATATACTTTTTCACAGGTACTAAATGATTAGGTTGGTTTTTCCAATTTGTCATTGTGCTGAATGGAACATTGTTAGAAGGGGAGACCCAGGAAACTGACTCATTAAATTGGGAACAATTATCCTCTTTAGGCCCAATCTACTCTACGAGGCAGTTGTTATGTAAATTAAAAGAAAGAGGCCCCCCTATAAGTCATCCCAAGCAAGTGGAAAAAAGGCAGGATACAAATCTAACAAAATAAAGTAATAAAATATACCAATATTTGAAAAGGCATTCAAAAGTTTCTTTTTTCTTGTAGTGGGGAAAAAACTGCTTATACTAAATAAAAATATCCCTAGTACTACAAAAATATATATACTTAGAATGTCATCCTGAAAATAATTATCTTATTTTAAATGTTCATTGCTGGAAATCCAAATGAGAGGAAGAGAAGAAGAGAGGAAAATTTAAGCTATAATTGGAATTTATTGTTGTGATTTGAATCAAACCATCTGTTGTCTAATACTTCTTTAGCCTTTCCCTAACTGTTACCTTTGGCACTTCCATGACATTCAGTTAAGGGTCCATTTACATCTTGAGTGATTACTTGTATACTGGATTGGTCTGCTGGAAAAATTGCAATAAAAATAAGGTAATCCCTTCAGTTAACAGCATCAGAATGAGCAACAGAGGATAAAATAAATACAGCCTAACTAAAAGCAATATCAGAGATTTCATACACCTTACATTCTTAAAAAGACATCCAACTGATAATTCATTAAAAAAATTGAGATCTTTATGATTTTTTAAGGGTTAGAAAAATGAAAGTGCATCCTCTGATCACAAAGAAAAAAAGTGTAAAAATTCAACACCTTTCGTTGAAAAGGAGGGTGTTCCAAAGCTTTGATGCTAATACTGTTTCCCCTTGCTGCTAATATTATGTCAAGGTTCTATTGCAACTGTAAGAAACTGTGTTTTTTGGATTTGTTTTTAGACAGGGATGAGAATGGCTTTGTAGCAGATGGTGTTAGTGATTCACAGAGAGAAGCTGAAAATCCTTCTCTTTTTCAGATTAAAATCTGAGCAACAACAACAAAAAGTTTGGTACAAATGGGCAAATTTGTCAACTATGGTTTCTTTCTGTTTCTCTCTCTCTTTTTCATTCATGCATAAATTCAGTCCTAATTCTGCTTCTGTCTGTTTGAAAATTCATAAACCCTGTGGTCATTTCTCCTATTGTATGCAATTTTATCTAACTTAAGAATTTGTTACATCTAATTCCATTACTATTGTGCATTTTTGTACATAAATATACAGTATGAAAACAAAAACAATTACAGAAACATGTTTCCCCCTAATTTACATATTGTTACATGCAGTTTTGACAGGATAAATTACATAAAAAATTGCAGAAACATATCTTTGATTTTCATCTTGGTTCAGGAAATAAGAATTTGGAAAATTTACATTAAAATAAAAAACTCCTAAATTTTAAGCTAATACAATTTATCTTGATTTTGATGTGTGCTTACATAAGCTTCTGAGGTTTATTTCCTACTGCAGCTTGAACAGATTTTGCTCCTATCTCTGTCATATCCTTTGCACTTTCCTCTATAGAATTATGAAATACAAGCGTGTTTTCACAATTTTCTTTATTATTGCTTGCATTAGTGTGTATATCACAGTAAATATTTAAATGGCATATACCTTTTCTGTTATCTGTGTAATGAAGTGATTCAGTTCATGCCATAAATTATGAGACTTATAATTTAAGCTAAACAACAGAAAAGGGATCCATAGGTGTAGCACTGAAAAAACAGTTCTTTTTTATGCTTTTATTTACCTTGCAAATAAAAATAATTAATTACTATTTCTAAAAAGGAAATTGTCAAAAAAAAAAAACATAGAAGAGAAGACAATATTATTATCCTCATTAGTTTTATTTAGACTGAAGGAATTCTTGTTCCTTTTAAAGAACGAGTAAAAATGCAGAGTTTCGCAGAAGAACTATATGCTCCTAGTTCAATTATTATTAACATTTAAGATAGATCACCACATGTATTTAAAATTAATACCTAAAGAACCATGAGGGAAAAAATATTTTTAAAAACTTTAAATTAAATTCCTATTTTGAGTTCAGTTTCCTTAATTTAATTAATTAGCATTATCGTAGGAATGAAATCCTCACTAATCTTCATGAGAATTAGATCCATGTGTAACTCTGCCCAGATACTTTGCTAAGAACATACCACTCTTCATTATGCACTCTGTTAGGATTATCTGTGGATTGTGGAATCAAAATCTATATAAAAATACTTAGCATTCATATTTTAAGTGGTTAATGTGCTTTACATACATTATTTTATAAATCCTTATAACAGCAGCAGTCCTATAAAATGTCATGTTAGCATCTTCATGTCACAAAAAAACAAGAAGAAAAGACTCATGATGGATCAGGCCAAAGTTCGGTGTCTTATTTCATACAGGGATAAACCATATGTCTCGGGGAACACAGCCACAAGAAGGCTAGGAGGGTAATTGCTCACCTCCATTGTTATTCCGGATTCTTATTGGAAGGAACATTTTTATTTTATCAACAGGGAGTGAAATGAATATGGAACAATCTTGTCGAAAGTCATTTAGTGAATTGAGGGTTAGATTAAGAATTTCACTCAGTTTCCCTTGCTTACAATACACACTCTAAGCCACCACTGCCCTTTTAGTAACTTTGGCTTTGCATGGCTAAAGAAGGTGAAATTTGCCAGGTATTTGGGGCTGTTGAAAAATAATGAAAGAATGTTGTCAATTAACTTTATTCTGATACAGACTCCTAATTCTCAGATAGTATAAACTGAAATAATTCTGGTTTCTTCTCTTACAGATTCCATGGATTCTTGCTCTTTTTCAGAGTTACTCCAATGGATGTGTTTTGCACTTACTGAAACTTTGTTTATGGGAAATTCTTTGCTTTACATTCTGATCTAATAATGACTGAGTCACTGGATGTATGTGATTGACAAGGGACTAGACTGGTCTAAAAAGGAATTTTTTTGGTTGCCTAGTTTATGACTTGAATCCCTTTAAGAAAAGCATGCTCAGATAGTGACTAACACAGACACCATTTCCTTTCAGTAAGGCTGTGGAAGAAGGGGCCGTTTGAAACCTGAAAATGAGTGCACCATTAGTTCCCAACAAGTCATGTTACAATCTATTACAGACCAACAGAAATGAGATGAAAAATAACAATGAACACACGGTGTCTGTAGGAGATACAAATGCCAATCAAATCACATCAGATGTCAGAACCCCTGGAACAGCAATAAGGACAAGCAATATTTCAGGAGAAACCGGTTGCTTACGCACCAGTGAGCAAGACCCTATCAGACAGTTAGACTCTGAGAGGAACAACCTTCAGGGCACCACTGATGAATCAGAATTTATACTGCCTTCTACCATCAGCAAGGAATTGCATGCAAATTGTAGGCCTGCTGGGCTTAAGGACCCTTCAAAGCTAGTCACCATAAGCCGGGGACACAGTTTGTCCAATCTGAGGATCAATCCAAGTGATAACTTTTCAGTGGTACTTTCAAAAAGTGATGCTGATCTCATTCAGCATGTGTCAAAGGAAAAAGCACTTAGAAGGATTGAGCCAGAAGGAATAAAACGCCTTTCTTTGGGGAGATCAAGAAAACTTATGGCTAAAACAGAAACTTTTGAAAAAGAATTTGTTGGTCGTGTATCAGGTAAACGCTTGCTTTCTGTATCCTTGGATTCCATCAACACTTCACATCATTTGAGTGGGGACACGGACAAATCTCAGAAGACATCAGCAGACCACTTTTTAGGTATGGTGTTCCATCCAACTGATAGCGTCTCAGAGGGAAACATTGTACATTATTCTAAATGTTCGTCTACCTCAGAAATGGAAAAAGCAAATGCCCCAGCCATACAAGCAGGTGTGGATAATGTATCAAATGCCAGTAAACAAGGCACTCTACATCCTGCTCTTGTTGACCTCCATTTAACTGTTAAATCCAATGAAATTTGGAAACCAGAAGCACAAATTGACCATCAGAGTGATAAGAGAGGAAAAGGGGAGGTGAAATGTCCTTTGCCTTCACAGTCTAAGCGTGTGTGTGAGCAAAAAATAAACAAGATTATGTTATTTGAATTTCTTGGATGTCCAACAGAAGAAAATAATGTGGTGGTACAGAATCAGAAGGATATGGGGTCTGAAGTATACAAGACAAAATTACATCAGTTGCCAAAAGAAGATCCATTTTTAAATGAGGAATTTGATTCTATCCGTGAAAGTCTGATAAGTGATAATGGCTCTTCAGATTTAGGAAAAGGAAATCATCACGGTAACAGCAAGGCAACAAGCAAAGCGAATGAGGAATATAGAGCTGCAAAAGAGGTAGATTCTGTTGTGGTTCCTGCTGATGATGCTATACATGTTGGTAAACTGACACCAACAAGGAATGAAAACCTATATATTACTAACACAAGTTGTATTCCAGCTGTTAACGGGCACATGTCTTTTATGCACAGTGTCAGTGTGGCAGAGAGCAAACACCTGAATAACAGTGAAAATAAACAGATTCTAGTCAAGGGACCTAGTGAAGATGTTGTAAATGTCCATTCTGATTTGGAAAATCCAAAACCACAGAGTACAGGAAGTATCTCGGACAATCATTTTAGCATGCAGGACAATGATTTGGAAACCACAAGTGTCTCAGTTCGGAGCAAGAAGACAATTAATGAAAAGAAAGGGCTTTCACATGACACACTGGAAAGCTATAAAATAATAGCACAAAGTGATACCTTTTTATGTCCCCCAACTCCTTTGCGCCCTACTGCGACTGTGAATGCCAGTAGCCCCAGCCCAGTGTCAAACAGCAGTTTAAAGGAACTTTATGCATTTCATGTTGACAAGCTGCCATCTTCTGCAACCCTACCTCCCACTGAGAGCACCGAGTGGTTTAGCCTATCCCCTAAAGTGCCTAACAAAACTACTTGTAACAGTGGGATCCCCAAGCCAATCCTTATACATTCCAAGGGGCCCCAACCAGCCAACTATGGTGGTGAGAACGAGTATATGGAGAAGCCTGAAGATAAGGCTGAGACAAATCCAGACATCCCCAAGCCCAAACATGTGAGGCCTAAAATAATAACTTACATTAGAAGGAACCCTCAGGCGATCAGCCAGCTTGATCATTCTTATCCCCCACCTGGATTGTCTTGCGTGCCCCCTGCTTGTGGGTTGCCAGTGGCAACTGAACAGAAAACATTGAATGATGGAGATATTAAACCAGGCAACGTTCTCTATGAAAGATTTAAAACTGACTTTCAGAAGCCTCAGATTTATAGTTCTGGACTTGTAGTATCTGGCATTAAACCCTCGGACCATCATTTTAGTCAAATGGGTGAAAAGTTTCTCCAGGAGGTAAGTTAAAAAAACAAAACAAAAACCCAAAGACTGTTTAAAATATGAGGTTTGTGAGTCTGTTGGGATAATATTTGTGATGGGAATGTTTGTGATAATCTTTCAAACATTCCGTTTTAATGCCTGTAGGTTTTCTTTAAAAATCACAAGGGAAAGAAACCTGAGATACTGGGTGAGTATAGTGAAAGAAGGGCTCTGTATCATTTCATGTATCAGTTTCCTTATGAATCTGTTTCCTTTTAAGAAAATTGTCACAACATTCTAGGCTGTGATATATTTCATTTCACAATATAAAAATAACACCTGCTATAGCACTGAGGCAAAGATGGCTGGGAAGTTCTCTTGCTCTGAAAAGCAGCTTTAAGATTGTCAGAAAAAAAAAAAAGTGAAATGATGGTGTATTCAGAAATTATTTACAGCAACTCACCAGCAGGCTTGCTGCACTTCACTGGTTCAATCTGTATCGCTTTCTCCGACTGCCAACTGTTTTTGAATTTAAATCAAAGTGCTGACATTAGCTTTTAAAACTCATGGTCTCAGCCCACCATCCAAAACTGTTTTCTTAATCCCACGTCCACTGTTTCCTTTATGGTGATTTAACTTACCTAACATAGTGCCCAGGATATTGAAATGTCCCAAAGATGCAGAATGTGCATGAAATGGAAAAAGGGGGTTGTTTAAAACTTGATACATAATATTGCATTGTTGAAAGTTCGTTAACCTGTTTTGGGTCAGCCATAGTCCAGCTGAAAGAAACTCAAACAATTTGAATGAAATCAAACGCAAAACAGTTTCAGATATTCTGCCCTCAGGAAACAGTGGGATTCAGAACAAGTGTATTTAATTGCAAATATCTGTATAACCACTAGGTGAAAGCAGAGGGATACAGACTATTCTGTTTTCAGTCATCTAGTGGATGTTCATATTTTGCAGCCTAGCTCTTGTAGCCCTATTTGTGTTTCTGGGCATCATTTTATACTCCCAGCAAAATTATGTTGGATATTCTTCAATGGCATCTGTCGCGGGGAGGGACAAGGAGGGTCAAAATAATGAAAACAGGAGAATACTGTGGATGTTGCTGATATTCTCAGAAGTGCCCAGTTAACATGAAAGAAAATATTTTATCTTAATTCATCCTAATATTACAAGAAACATCCCTAACAGTCTTTCAAACCCATAACTACTGAATTGTTACTGGAATGCATTTCAGCTCTTTATTACAAAGTATCTGCAAATAAGTAATATTCACCTTAACAGTACTCTTTAATCGTCTATAGAAGGTTGCATAGTTTTGGAATAATCCAAAGCATATTTTAGTGCTAATAGTAATTCAGGAGCTGTGGATTCTATTAATACCTCTGGACCAAATTGTGATATCAAGAGATATTTTAATTGAGTTTACTGCCATTCCTCAGTTTTAGACAGCTGGTATTTTTCGTGCAATAACTTAGCTATCAAAATTAATGCCTATAGTATTCCATAAACTTTTTTTTTTAAGACAAGGATTTATCTGCAATTTGCAAAACTGGGTTTACCCAAAAGTGTAACTTATCATGTGAATAAGGGTCACAACCATACTTTGATCCCAACATTTTCCTTGCAGCATTATATACAGTATTTCCGTCAACTTTTCCTGAAGTTCACCCAAGGACTAAATAAGGGCAGAATCTGGCTCAAAATGGCCATTTCTGTACTTAGGAGGTTTATTGCAATGAAGGAAGGTACAAGTGTAGAAGCTGCCTCAACTGTGAATTTCTGCCAGGTCTGGGCAGTCATAGAGTAAAATATCTTGATTTTCTGTGTATGGCTGCCTTCCATTCACAGATAGGTGGAGTTCCATTGGACGCCCTGCTAGATCACATGTCAGGTAGTTGGAAAACAGCCAAGTTCTTGTCCAGCATCCAATTAATGGAAAAAAGAGTGATCCTCCAACGGGGCCCATGATGTGCTCATGTCATCTACCATGTAAACCACATCCAGCACTTCGGCATAAATGAACATCCGTCTACACTTGTGTCCAGAATAATGGGAAGTGATGAGGACTTCAGTGGTCCCCCTCCTTATTTGCACTTGCCCCCACCAGTACCCAGGGAAGAAGTGTAAGAAGCATGAATCAAATGCCTAAGGAGAAGTGAATATAACTGTTCTTTGCTGCCAGTTACACATATGCTGCCAGTTTCTGATAGCAAACTCAGGATATTTATTGCAGTGGTAAATCTTTCAACACAGTAACACAAAGCACATTGCAAACTCAAAGCATTCTGCATAGAAAACAGGCATGAGACCTCACTTTAGCAAATGAGGCCATAGAGACAAACTCAAGTTTAGGAAGTTCTAAGTATAGTCCACATCCAGTCCAAGGTTCCAGGTAATCCAACAACAGCATACAGAGTCACAGAGAGGAAATTAAAACACTATTGGCCACAAAGAGCCCATTCCAAAAGCCATCTCTTTTATATAGACCTATCTGTTTGATTAACTGTCTGGGTCATACTTCTTTCTTTCAAGTACAAGGCTTGACTTCTTTTGCTCTTCTTCTTTTGCATTGTGTTGCTGAGCTCAAGACCTGGATCAGCTGACTCACCTGCACCTGTGTCTCTTCAGGGTTGCTGTTGCTGAGCCTCTGTTTAGCTAATTTCTGGGATGCAGGCCAAGGCTCAGACTGACCAAGATCTTCAGAAGTTCTTCAGCTTCTGCATCATAAGCCTCCTCCCACTGCACTGGGGGTGTAGGCTTTAAGGGGAACTATAGGCGAAACTGCTGGACTAATCTGGGCACATACACCTGGTCTGCATTTTCTCAGAACTGCTCTTCAGGTCTATATCCCTTCCAGGCAATGAATTAGTGGAGGTTTTTTTTTCAGTGTTTCCAAGAGTCTAGGGTGCAGGCTACCTCATATTTTGGACCATGACAGGAAATAGAGGGGGAATAGATGAGTTGGTATGATTGGGAGGTGCAACAGGGATTAGCAAGGATATGTGGAATACCAGGTAGATTTTAAAGGACAAGGGGAGTTTCAGGCAGCAGATTCCTGGATGGGCCATTGACCCAATGGGGAAAGATCCAAGCATCCACTGTCCAGCTTCTTTTGACTGCAGTTAATGTGATGATACCTAGATCAAGACACCAATTGCAGAGCAGGAACTGTAGAGTTGTTGATAATGTCAGTCAGTAAAATGTCTGTATGGTTTTTTTTGGCCTGTTGGAGTTGATCTTTAAGTACTTGATGTATGACTTGAAGTTCCTGCAGGAGCAGATCTGAGCTGGCATTGCCTCACAAGTTAAGGAAGGGAGACCATTCAGCCTCTAGGAGCCACCATGAAGAATGCTGCCTCCAAGTAGCCATTGAATGATATTCTGTAGCTTTTAGCACATTCAACCAGATATCATCATTTAATTCTTTTCTTATTAGTAAATATCTACTACTTTATTGTCCAGGTGTTTTACATGAAATACTCTTTTACCTATCTGTAGAATAGAGAGGCCTTATTCACAAACAAAGTTAGTTAAGAATGCCAGGCTTAACAGTGCAGTCTAATACATATTTTGTCAGTGGCATAGCACAATCCTATGCATCTTTATTCAGATGTAAGCCTCAATGGGTCCTTTAGGTCACAGAATCTTCTATGGCTCCTGGATCTCTCAGACTTAAACCCAGGGTCCATGTGAGCCAAATTTCTGTTTCCTTCCTAAGCAAATACTTTTAAGTATTTTGATGTTCTGTTTTGAATGCAGTATATTATTTATTTATATTTGATTTATAATATATTAGATTCTGTCATTTTTTCATTTCTGCTCAGATGCCACAGCAGCAAACGTTGAGAAGTATTAACTGCAACCTTTGTGAACAGCTGAGTTTGCATGCATGTTTTGATTCCTGCTGTATTTTTTTAAATTTACCTTTATTATATTTATATTTCTGTAGGTTGGAGAAAGGCCTGCGAAAGACGATTTTTGTCCTCCGCCATATGCTCACTACGAGGTGCCTCCAAGCTTTTATCGCTCAACAATGATTCTTAAACCCCAGTTAGGACTTGGTGCCGTCTCCAGGTTGCCATCTGCAAAAAGCAGGATTTTGATTTCCAGTCAAAGATCTTCAGCAAGCTGCATTCATCCTCAAGCACCAGTACCCAGCTCCACACTTTTCCATCCTGATGCTTCAGGTAATCAGTTAACCTATCTGGCTGTGCTACTGAATCCTAAATCATAATGATAGGCTGAACTTAATCAAGATATAAAGGAAATATAGAATATTATACCAAAGGAGCATTAGATCACTAACTGATCTGATTAAGTCTGTCTTATGCAAACCCAATCTATGTTTTAATTATAATAGCAAATCACCAATGTGGGTCTTTGGGTTGGTTGGCTGGGTTGGGTTTAAGCATGATCAGACCTTTGCCTTCTTACTGTATCAGCCTAACTATACTAGTTAGTGCTGCAGTCTTATACTACAATTTTCCCCGCCTGATATCCTCTAGATGTGCTGGTCCCATCATCTCCCATAATCTCCAGCCAGTATCATTTTGGGTTCTGGCAGATGTCAGGTTGGAGAAGTCTGCTTTATCAGCTGAACTGACAGCCCCACTGAATACAATAGCTGTATTTTAGTTTAAAAAATAGTTCTATTTTTGTTATCCCGCCTTTATTATTTTTTTATAAATAACTCAAGGCAGAGAACATACCTAATATGTCCTTCCTCCTCCTATTTTCCCCACTACAACAACCCTGTGAGGTTAGTTGGGCTGAGAGAGAGTGACTGGCCCAAAGTCATCCAGCTGGCTTTCACGCCTAAGGCAGGACTAGAACTCACCTTCTCCTGGTTTCTCGCTTGGTGCCTTAACCCCTAGACCATAATGGTTTAATTATTAGGAAAATATTTATTTTTGTATGTGAGCTAATGGATCTCTTTGCAGTAGAAAATTAAGCTGAATAGTTAAATTATTTCTGGAGAATTCACATAGTTTTGTGTTAGAGTGGATTTTAAAGCACATCCAAAACTGAACAATAATTGGGATGTGATCTAGTAGGACTTGTCTGTCTGAATATTAACTGAATGCAAGCTGAATGGAGATTGCTTTCACTCATCAATTGCTGGCATCACTTTGATCCCTACCACAAATCATAGGAATTTTAATGTAAATGTAGGGCTCTGCTCATCCATTTTACATCATTTTTTTCTAACCCTGAGAACATTATCTCCTTTTTGCACATGTTTAGAAAAGTAAGAGCTGTAATCTGCTAGTGCCTCAGCTTTATTTTCCCCTGGGGTAAAACTACTACGATTCCATCAAATTAGGGATTATGTTGGGGGCCTGATGACATCATAAGACTCCATAGTTTATAATTCCCTGGAAAATGGCCTGTAGGTTTTAAAATGTTTGTGATACTAAAATAAATACGTTTAAAGATTAAATACATGTCACGAATCTCTAATAGCACCCTTAACCCCATATCCAGTCATAAAGTCACTTTTCATAAGAAGAGAAATACCCTATACTATAAAATAATTATTAAATTGTTATTGTGCACAATAAAAAGATTATTGTATACATTATAATTATAAAGCTGTGCACATTGTTCCTGTTTGTTTCCAAATCCTAAGGGAGGAACATCAGCCTCTGTTTTGTTGCTTTTGAATTAACACAACACAATGGCTTCTGCCTTCATTTTCCCAGTGTTTTAAAAGAGAAATGCTACTTTCATTTCTTATCTCTCACTTCTATTATCCCATGTGAACATTGGGACAAAATATTTTTTTAAATGTGCTATATTTTGGCTTTCCTACTTTTCTGAAAAGTCTCTCACTTTGCTTTTCAAACCTTTTAACACCAATATAAAAAAAGAATATTATATTGCACTGTTTTGCAGATAACTTTAGTATGCAATGTTTAGCTTACTGTGTCTACTCAGAAGTAAACCCTCTGAATTTAATGGATCTTACCCCCAAGGTAGTGGATATAGAACTGCAGCTGCTATGTAATGGCAGTATTTTCTGACTCCAGGCATATAAGCAACCAGTTGGCAATTAGATCCCTGCTGATTTTGACTAATGAAAAATAGGGCTTGATTAACTTATCTTTTTCAGGAGAGTAGAGAATGTAAACATGCTAGACTAGGCTAAAGTGAGGTTGATTAGCTTATGGTTCAGCATTTTGCAGGAAACCCAGCTGTTTTCTTAACTCCCAAGAGTTAGCATGTTGTGTGAGCTAGGTCATCACATTAAGCCATAGAATAGTTTATTCATTTGGGCATAGCATGTTATGGGAACATAGCAATTCTGCTTGGTTAGCATGGGGTTAGGGTTAAGTGTGCTGTGAACCAGCCATCTGCCTAGATAGACCATCCAGGAAAAAATACTGAGTTGGGATAATCTGCATGTGGTTTCCTCTCTTCAATGGATATTTTGTCTAACACAAACTGTAAAGAATATAAGAGAAAATATTTTCAATACCCAACTAACAAATATCTGTTTTACCCAATTTTACTGCACTATTGTAATCAAGATATCTGATTAAATTATACAGGAAAACAGATGAACAGACTTATTAAATAAAACAATCTTATATATCCCTTTTACTCTTAATGTGTAAAAATTATACACAACCATTAAAATATGACATTTTGTTTCACTGAATTTTAAATATGTAGCAGAGCCGGGCAATCTACAACCTACAGGGCACCTGTAACTTCTGAATTTCTTTTCTGCAGGCTTCTGAACTCTATGTCAGCATGGCTTCCTACCAATTATTTAATATTTTTTAAAATGTGGCTCCTTCTGGATCAGATGTACATCTGATATACATGCTTGCTACTAAAGATATAGGCAAGAGACCATAAAATTAGTGTGGGTTTGTTTCTTGTTGTTGCCTGGTTTTTGCCATCTTTTCTATTGCTGTATTGTTTTATTGTTATTTTTCTATGTTTTTACCTTGTATACTTCCCAGAATCATTGGGAATGGGGGGTGTAAAAAAATAAAATAAAATAGTTTCAGATTGCAATCCAATAGAAACTTCTTTAGGTATTGCTTCTAGGAACACTCCTAAGTGAACATCTATGGAATTATTCTGCTAGGAATGAACATTCTGTTCCAACAATCAACTGTATTATATGCTGCATTTCCATCTCGCTTTTGTTTGTTTCCATTTCCAGCACCTATATTTTGTAAGAGCACTACGAGATGAGAAGAACAATCCTAAACCTGCAGCTGTAAATAAGACCAACTAAAAATAACACAAAAAGATGTGCATGTTTTGGAGTTCTCCAAAACTCTTCATCAGGGAAGATGTTGCAAACAAAACAAAACAGGGGACGTAGTAGAAAGAAGAACATTTCAAAATTAGGCTAAATATTTTTAGACTGTGAGCTGTGCAAGGAAGTTGGACTTCAAATGGAATTTGTTGACTGCATGTGGAGTTTCAAATTACACTTAATTTTCTGGACAAAAGAAATTATTGCTTCCTTCAACTGTGAAGACACAAAACCATTGCCCTTCCCTAGTTTATCCCTAACTTTGGTTCATGCCACAGGGTGCCTTAGCCTGGCAGTAAGCAGGAACAAAGAAACATCAGACTGGTCCAGGGATACCCAAGTGACCTTTACAGCTGACTGTAGATTTGAACCTAGGCCTTTCCAGTCTTTGTCTGACATTTATAGTGTCATACATCCTCTATGACATTGACACTGGTGCTCTAGAACATCAGACTCATAGGTTCTTCTGACTCACCCTGTCTGTTTATGATAATCAGATGAGTCCTAAAAAACCCGTTATGTTAAAAAGTGACTTTTTAAATCTCTGCCAACACATTTTCCCTTAGTTTGACATGCTGCTACTCAGCTTCTTATCTCTTTTTATCTGCCATAGTGTTTTTATGTGCTATTAGAGCAATGGAAGCAAGATAACTGTCCTACAGAGAAGACAGATGATGAGATGCAAACCTAAAGCAGGGCTTCTACATTCATTATCTCTCAGGAATTTGAAAGGAAGGGCAGTTTGCTTGGCAACTAGAAGAGAGTAATAGAGAATTGATAGGTATCGTTGGCTTACGTAAAGAGCCAGCTGCTGCAGACTAGGTATGCTTGGTAGTGATGTGCCATATGTTATTACCCTGACCTTGAGAGGCAGCCAAAACATCAGCATGCTAGTTAAGTGTGAGCTGCACGGCATGACAATTAAATGGATACATAGCTGGCTCAAAAATTGTACTCAAAGAATCCATCAAAATAGAGAGGTATTGAATTGTGTCCTGGGTCCTGTACCCTTCCATATGTGTATTAAAACATGGATGAAGTGATGGAAGAAATACTTATCACATTTGCAGAGGATATCAAATTGGGTGAGAAAGTAGAAGACAGAAATAAACTTTAGGCCAGTCTTCATACATCAGAGAAATTGGCAGAAAACAACAGGTGAAATTTGATAGAGACAAGTGCAAAATTCTTAGTTAGGAAACAAAGTCCAATGTACAGTATAGGATAGAGATACCTGGCTTGGTGTGGTTAGATGGGTATGGGTGGTTGGTAACCCATGAAATGGTTTGTCCCCAAACTGATGAGTGTCTGTGCACAGGAGCAATTGAGGAGATTACAGTGGTTGTCATGGGGATGAGGGTGAGTGCCTGGGTAGGTATGTTTGGATATGCACCATGGCCAGGCAGGGGTTTGTTGAGGCTGGGGGAGCGTTGGAGGAAGAAGTAAGAGAAGGTAGTTCCATCAAGGTTGTGATGTGCAGAAGAAGGTACGGTGGTAAACTGAGGGTGGGCACAGGTGGTGGGGCTGCTTATTGTCCCACTTTCCATCCCTCATGATCATCCCAAAGGCCATCTGATAAGATGCCAGGCATCCCTGAGTTCTGGCTACCATTATTGAATGCCAGGTCTGTATGTAATAAAACCATCCTCATCCATGATTTGACTGTGGATGAGGTAGCCAACTAAGTGTGTATAACAAAGACTGGGTTGGGCTGGGAGGGGGAATTTCCTCAACAAGCTAGTGCAGAACACAAAGCCTGGGCAGTTACAGACATGCGATGGTATGCTCACGGAATGTCTCTGCTTCATGAGCTGTACTGGTTATCACATATAAAACCTTTCATGACATAAGAAGCAGTTATCTGAGGGACTGTCCACCCTATACGATCCAATAGGCTCAGCATGTTCTGGG